GAAGCTTACTGGTTTAGCGTGAATGAGTGGGTTCGCAGACTGAAGATCACGGCTGCAGCAGGACCCCAGGAGCAACTCTGTGGCTGTGAACCTCAGTCTGCAAACCCACACATTTGCTAGTTCATGCTAAGCCATGGTTTGGCCTAGCATTACATGTGAACTGGGCCTAATTGGTTAAGAGTTTATCACAAACTATGAACCAGACATATGAGATGAAAAGACAACTGTTATGTACTGAAGTTCTCACCCTGGGCCATCAGGGGGATACTGTAGATAGTTATGCAAATAAGGGATCAAAAGTGACGTTCAGTGATTGGATAGTTTTAGAAAATTGTTACAGTTACATTGTACTGGAGCTCTATATAAGCAGGCTGACTGAACCCTTCAGTTCAGTTCTGTCTTGGCCTGAGAATAAACAAGAGCTGTTTGAAGAATCGCTGTGTCATCTGATATGTTCACCCACAACTTAACAACAACAGTTCCGGTTAGCTGGTAACTAGGGTGAAATGGTAGGAGACTGCCAAAGAAAACTAGAGAGTAACAAGGCTGAAGGACCCATGGGAAAGTATGGAATAACTTCAGACAAAACTGAACTAATGATAATGGCTACAGTCTGGTTTCTCTTCAGATCGTATAAATCTTTCGCCTTTTACTAAATATGTCTGTGGAGAGGAACAGTTATGAATTTACAGCTAATTCTTTGAAGCCCCATGCTACTTCCTTGGTGTTAAAATCAGATTTGTATGCTTATTAACCCCTTCCCCCCAAGAAATAATGATAATGGCTGTTGTATGATAAGGGAAAAAAGCCTCCAGACGCAACTGCAGTGTATATTTTGCAAATGGCTACATGGATATTTAAAGACCACACTTTCCCCATTTTGTCTCAGCTAAACTAACCAGTCTATCTGGAATCCACCCACCAAGAGCATTCTTTTAAACTCAGCAAATGTCATATTATCTTAAAGATGTGAAAGAATGTTCTGTCTCGTAACTGGTATGTGTCCAAGCACTGAGTAAGAGAAAACATTGCCAGAAGGAAACTTTTCCCAGAATTCTTTGTTTATTTCTAGGATGGTGGCCTTGATGGATGCAAAGAAAACATACAATGGCTGTCAACAAGAACCAGATCTAAGGAGTGATATCAGCTTGGAGTGATTTCTCCTGCAAAAATTCCCTCTCCAGATACAGATGTATTAGTCAGCAATTTCCTGGCATCACATGGAATTTGGGAGAATGATGTAAAAGCATAAAAATATTGTATAGCTTATTTCAGAGGTGGACAGATTTGCATGATGCAGTTCTTGTTTTTTAACTACAACCTTGAGACCTACAAACTGGAGATTGGTGCAAAAGACATATGTATAGAATTGAAGAATTCATAGCCTAGGAATTTGTTGTTTATGTCAGAACTGAATGGAGCTCATAGGTCTTTCATGAAACAATCCATTCCTGATTACCTCAATCTCTCTTCATATTAGCAGTATAAATTAGGGCTCAGAGGGGGCTGAAATTAGTTTTGTTGCTACTTTTGTTAGAACAGTTGAAAGTAAAAAAATATATTGCTGATTTACTACAAATCACCCAGAGCTATGTGATTTCAAGCGCAAACTGGAACTTCAGGCTTTCACAGTTGACATGGATTAAAGTGCTCTGTCACTTTAGCGCGACAAAACCACTTTTTAAAAAAGACATTTCGCAGTTTGGAAAGTGATGGCGGAATGCATTAAAGGTGGAAGGTTTGCAAACACCCCACAAGCAAATCAGGATGAAAGCAGGAAGAATGCTCATTGTCATAGAACTACTCTGCAAACATATCAGAATGAAACTGGATATAATTTGACTACAGTATAAGCTTTGTGCAAGAAAACCAGGATGTATGCTCAATAAGCAGGTCATTTGGAGGAACCTTAAGCTACCTCATAGGGTTGTTGCTGATTTTAATGAACCTGGAGGAAGGGCAAGATATAAATGTAACAAAATAAACTTTAGCCATGAAAAACAATCTTGAATATATCAACACTTTTATTACTTCTACAAATAGCTGCTCTGATGTTTAGTAGTCATATAAAGAATGTTTGCAGGAGTTAACACCCATGGTATGTCAGCAGTTTAGCAATTAAATCAAGTAGAACCTTTATGGATCTAGGAGCTGAAATACACCCAGAAATAAATTGTCCCTTCAGGTGAATCACACCAGCAATTTTGCGTTCCAAATGAATTATTTTGGAGACAACACCTGGGTATTTAAAAGTAGTGCTTCTTTTACACTTAGTATTCTGTTTGATTTTTAAAGCATCCTTATTATACACAAAACATTTTCACTCCTTGGCTGCACTTTAAACTTGAATTGGTAGTGCAATGAATGAACTCCAGACTTAACTGCATATGGAAGACCATTTATTTGGTTCATGTGCTTTGGGCACGAGGCTTGGCCACAGACAGCACCATTCATTTCCCTGAGAATGGGAAACACACCTTTTGGTCTTTTGACAGGTATAAATTAATTCAGCTTAGTTAGACAGTATTGCATCCATATTCATGATTTATGATCTGTACTCCTATAATAGCCACTCTTACTTTGCAACCCCATTCAGAGTGAAGAATTCTTTCTGTGATCACCACCTTCTTTGCATCTCTCAAACTTGTTTTTAGGGGGGAAGTTCTTTTCATGCTTTGTCCGGAAGACAAAAGTTCTCACATTAAATGAAGGATAAGAGAAATTAGCTCATATTTAAGAGTTGTATGTGAAATGCTTCTACAGCTGAGTGAAACAAGCTGAATTCTAAATGTGCAAGTAGGGTGGGCAACACAAGAACGAGCCTTTTCTGTGGTGGCTCCCCATTTGTGGAATGTTTTCCCCAGGGACTTCAGGCATCAGGTAAAAACGTTCTTCAGCCAGATCTTTAGTTGGTTAAACAATTTTGGACTTTTAAATGTGTTAGAGGCGTGTATTTATTTATTATTTTGCTATTAAGTTATGTATTTCATGCTTTTATGTTGTAAACTGCCCTGTGATCTTTGGATGAAGGTCAGTATAAAAATGTAAGAAATAAATAATATATAATAAGTATTTTCCCATGAAAAAGAGCTGCAGCATATCACATAGGAGCACGGGATAAAAAAAACCCCAAGAAACACAGATTCTGTCTCATCCCCATTCATCTGCCTAAATCCCACATGGGACCTCTGCCAATGGCTACTAGCCACAATGGCTTTCCAGACCATTCATGTTCAGAGAAGATATGCAGCTGAATACCAGTTGGTGGGGACCAACAACAGGAGAAGGCCTTGATGCCAATTTCCTGGGTTTCCTGGAGGTATCTTGCTAGCCATTGTGGTGAACTAGCCTGACTTGGTATAAGGCAACTTCTTATGTCCTTCCAGTGATGAATGATTGCTGCCAGCTGATCTTCTTTAGGGAAGTTTGTTTGGCCTCAGTCTGAGAACTTCAGACCTATACACTTTCCTTTTGGGCTTGTGGCTGTAATTCCAGTTTTAGAGAAATTGAAAATCCTGATAAGACTGCAGTGACCAGCAGCAATGACTCTATTGCCCTATCATAATAGATTAGTGGGGTGGAAAAGGAGCTTAGGCAAGTAGCAGGCTCATGAAAACAAAAACTCTGATGGATCAGACCAGTGATCCATCTAGATTAGTGATGTGTACGTTGACTAGCAGTGGCTGTCCAGCTTTCAGGACACAGCCTTTCCCAACAAAACCTGGAGATGCTGGAAACTGAACCCGAGGACTCATGCAACAAAACACATGTGCTCTGCCACGGAACTGCAGCCCATCATGATGGTAATAATGTCCTCTTTGGAGTGTTCTTCATATCCCTAGGAAAGACATCATCCACGAATGAATGAACAGGAACTTTGTCTATCCATTATGGTTTGTTTGTTTTATTTCTGTTCCCCCCTTTCTTCCAAGTTGCTCAAGGTGATGGCATACATGGTTTCCCCCACTCCCAGCCTTCTCCCACTGACATTCAGCTTCAACATAAAGCACCTGGAGATCTGACCATGTTGCTGAAAGGGGAGAGGAGGAACAAGTCAGTCCCTCAGCCTTTCCCTACTATTTTTTCAAACTACTCCAGGAGGTTCCTGCACTTGGAGGAAGCCCAGCCGCACGGAGCTATCAGAAAGGTTTTTTTGGAGAGAGGGCAGCAGGAAGAGGTCTGCGTGTGCATCAGGATGAGCACCCTTACCACCTCTTGCTGTTTTTATCAAACCTCCAGTACTGCACTTTGTACTTAGTATAGGCCCAGCCCTGACACAGTCTGCCCCACTCCCTTGTCTAGTATGATGTTCGCATGTCTAAGGCTGCATCCAGTGTTAGTCCTACTCAGAGTGGACACAGTGTTGTTAAAGTACATGTTTACCTTAGCTTCCTTAATTTCAATGAGTCTACTCTGAGTAGAATTTGGTTGGCTGTAACCAATGCTTAAAAAAAAATGTTTAGGGGCACTCTCATTCTCCTATTCGTATTGAAATGCTGCCCCTCAATGAGGCCAAACTTAGATTAACCAAATGTTTAGGGGGTATGCGTACCCCTGCGTCCCCCCAGAAAAAAGCAAAGGCTGTAACCCATAGTCTGCATGCACACACATACACATAATTGGAACCACAATATGTAATATTTACATATATATATACAGTCCTCACTGGAACAAACCAGATCTCTGGATAAACATTAGTTTCAATGTTAACAGCGGCAGAAAAATATAAAAAATAAATCCAGTTTGAAATATTTTGCGTGATGCAGCAGCAAAGTGCTATTCTAGGCTGCATCAACAAAAGTATAGTGTCCTGATCAAGGGAACTCTAAAATTCTCTGAATCTTTGATTTTATATAGCCTTTAATATAATATATAATATAGCCTTTAATATAAGAAACAGCATAAATATTTTAGAGAAAGAATGGCATGGACATTAAAGACGTGAACTGTAAACAAATATTCACATCTTTGTCATGCAACACCTATATTTATGAATACTGTATCACACACTCTAAAATTCTATGCTTGAGACAAATTTTTCAGGCCACAAAAAAAAAGATTGGTGGCATTACTGCTTGTTGTCTGACTGCTTTGTTCAAGATCAGACAGTTTTTTATAGCACAGGAGATCCCACACCTGCTTTTGACACTCTGAAGAGCCATAATAATAAATTAAGGGATCAATGCAGCAGTTTATGGTACCAATGCAGACCGCTAAGCTATAGGCAAAATACAGGCTATCAAGGGGTTGATCAGGTGAGATGCGCAAGTTGTGCACTAATAATAGGACATTTGTAGGGCCAAAACAAATAATAAAAGAAGACAAGACTGCTAGAGACAGGAGAATGGCACGTCTCTTTTTAGCAGTCTTTGTAGCAACACTGGATGAAGAAAGTTTCCTTATAATACACACATAACAGGTGACAGAGATTAATAACGGTATAAAAAAGAACAAAATGGATAATACAGAAAAGTTATACCGAAATATATCCATAATAACAGAGATATCTAATGTATCGTGACAGGTCGTAATATTTAACCGGGATAATCTCTGTGTTTGCTTATTGACAATCAGAGGTATCACCCCAGCTATTGCCAGAAGCCAGATGAGAAAGCAGACCAGCGAGGCCCGTCTTGCTGTGCGCCAGGACAGGGACTGCATTGGGTACACCACGGCCAGGAAACGGTCCACGCTTATCACCATCATCAGCAGGACGGAGCAGTACATGTTGCAGTAGAAGGCGGCAGTGACAAAATGACACATCACAGGCCCAAAGATCCAGTTGTTTCCAGAAAAGTTGTAGACAATTTTAAAAGGAAGCATACTCACGAAGAGGACATCTGCAGAAGCCAGGTTGAGCATGTACACCACAGTTGGTTTCTTAAGCCTTAATTTGACCACAAACATAAGGATTGCCGTAATGTTTAAAGGAAGGCTCAAAATAACCACAGCAGTGTGGACTGAAGGAACAAAGCGAGTCAGCCATGGACCAGTCAAGTATTTTTCAGCTTGTTTTTTGATAGCCACTTGCTCTATGGATTGATTGTTGTTGTTCAATGTATCAATAGTAATTTTTCTTTATCATTAGCATTTATTTCCATAGCAGGGAAACTAGCAAAATAAAGACCCTGGATGTCCAAGGATGAATCTGAAAGATGAAGCAATATGTAAATCAAATCTATGAATACATATATAGTTATGTTACAAACATCAATGCAACCACGCTAGTTTACTCATGTGACTATGAATCCAGATTAAATTATTGAATTACACATTTGGGGCTTTAAAAATTATTGGTGAAGATGAAATTTACATATTTCCTATTGCTAGTGAGAAACTTCAGATATTCCGCCGATCCTGAAAATGTGTGAAGTAAACTTTAGACCATGGGGTCTACCAGCAATACTTACTGGTATTTGAAACCAAATACACATGACATTAACCACAATCCATCTGCATTTTGCAGCTTCTCAAGAAGTACTCCTGTTTGATGTGCTTTCCCTCAAGTCAGCTTCCATCAGCTTGAAAATGGAAACAAATGTTAAGTTGGGGTGACAGGCACTGTGCATGTACAGATGACAGCGCGGTGAAACAAATCTGGTAATAGACACCAGGTGAAGACATCCCTGCTCCTTCTCTGGTGTGTGCAGCCCTCTAAGAATGTGACTTGAAACTAAGGGAGACAGGGACAAGTTTCTGTGTTTCATGCTGCTAATGTATACGTAGGCATATTCTGACATTGCCTGTGTACACACCATACATTTAAAGCAAAAGCTTTCATCAAAGAATCCTAGGAACTGTAGTATAGTAAGGGTGCTTGGATCTCTATCTCTGTGAGGGGAGAACTATGGCCAGCTTTTTTTGCTCAGTCTAACAGAGACAGGTTTATTTTTAGCGAAGTAAAAGGTCTTATGCAGTAAAGAAATCCTTGATTTTCTGTGAAGTACATCACCTCCTTGCCGAAATATCAGTGGCAGATTGTGCAAGAAGAAACACCCTAAATTCTTTAGGGTAGGAATTTTAGAGCAAAACCCCCCGCAAAATGCTTTATTCATTGTTCTTCCGATCTTATGTTATGACTTATGCTCTTAAAATGTTGCAGTCACTTAAGAGATCTTTTTATGTGCAAGTGATTGATAAACTGAATATTACCACTGAGAAGTACATTTTTTCCTAGTACAAGGATATTCTCCCTCCTCCTTTACTCTTGCTGCTTCAGCATGGTTTTTCTTCCGTAGCACAATCATTTGGAAAGATCAGAGACAGTGAAATTTCCCTGAAACAATTTCACATTGTATGTATATGCCTTGCTTTAACTATGAATATTGAACCGTGGAGAAATTGTGTTGGGTTGTACTTACTTTTTGCTCTTGCTGTGCTGAATAAGGTGAAGACCATACTAAACAGAGGAAACAGGATCTTCAGAGAGGGGTCCATTTCTCCTCCAGCGGTGAACCTCATCTTTTGGTTCTGCTAGGTCTCTAAGAAGAAACTGAAGGGATCTGCCTGAAAAGAAGCTTCCTTTATTTGTTTCCTGAGATCTAAATCCACTTGTCATCTCCTTGCCTATTTTGGGCTTTAATGTTAGCTTATCTGTAGAAGAAGCTGAGCCAACCCACTCTGTCATAAAACCACTTCATCCTATGTGGAGCAGAGGGTTCTTAATTTCTTCTTTCTGGCTATTCCCCAAAGCACCAAATGAAAACTGGCAGACAAGTCTTCTGTTTTCTTTACTTTCTAAAAGACTCTTCCTAAAAGCATTCCTGGAAAGCCCATTATGTTGCATTAATAGATAAAAAAGCATTTGTTGTGGTTTTCACCACAATACATTAAAAAGTAAAATTCATATTTTTTCACCATCCTAAATACGTTCTCAGTGGATAAAGTGCTTTACCATTAATCAACATTAAGCTTGAATGAATGTTAGATGAAATCCGGGTTGGGGAACCTTTTTTCCACCCAAGGGCTTTCCTCCCTTTTTCGGAGGGCCACATGGCCAGAGGGAGAGAGGTTAAAAAGTGGGTGGATCAACAATGGTAAATGTTACCTTTGTGCTGTAGGCTATTTTCAACACATATTCACACATTCCTCTGTGGCAAATATTGCCCTGCTCAGGGGAAAATCTTAAGAGTACCTTTTATGTAGCACACCTTTAGCATACCCTCCACCATTCCTCAGATGAATATAGGGACATTCTATTGCACATGCCAGGAAATCTGATCCCTCCCTCTCATGGCAGACTGCCAGCAATAGATAGACAATGCATTCTTACCAATGTATTTTAGTCAATGTTCAACTCAGAACCGTTGCTTCTTGGGTTAATGGCATTGCTCTGAGTAATCTCCTCCCCCCTTCCCATCTCAATCATCAACAGCACCCCCCTCCTTACGGTGGCTGCTTAGGGCCAATTGTCTCTTAGCTCTCTGCTCTCCTACTTCCATTGCTTGCTGGGTCTTGGGAGAAGGGGGGTCTGGAATGCTCTCTAGTGATAATGTGTCAGCCAGCAGTTCCTGCTCTGCTTCTCCCATTATTTTCCAACATTCCCCCTCTTCTAACTCTGATCTGTGACCCTCTGCAAACCACTGTTGTAAATCTATACTGCCCTCCTCTTCTTGGGAAGGTTCACCATTCCTCCTTTGATGCCCAGTCCCTGACACCACATCAGTATCACTGCTTGAGCATTTCCTACTGGTGAAGTACAAAATTTATGAAAAGAAACACGCAAATCTGCAGTATTTTAAGCACAGAAATCTTTGAATTTATGTATTGCATTTAGGGAGGCCTGTGGGGAAAAGAAAACCCCAAATCAATAAATACAACTATACATGTGTCTTGTGACTATGTGATGTCATCATGCATTTATGAGCATTTTGGAAGCATGATAACTTTGAACAACTATTATTATTGCAATTGTGCAGGTGTATGATATGGCGTCTCCCAATGAACTGATGCAGGCAGACAAAAACACAGATACTCTTGATGGCTTGGGGAACAGACCGGGCCAAGATAGTGCAAAGCAGCTCCTCCCTGCTTAGTCCTCTGTAGATCTGCTCCCCCAATGTTCAGCCTACGCAGAGTAGACCCATTGAAATTAATGGATAAGTCTAACTTGGGTCCATTAATTTCAGTGGATCTGCGCTGAGTAGAATTTTGTTGGCTAAGACCTATAGTCTGCACGTGCACGCGCGCGCGCGCGCACACACACACACACACACACACACAAAAACATGTAGCCAAGCGTAATTCAGATTCTTAGACAACAAAAACTGGATTCAGCGGTCTGCTTACATTAGGCAACTCTGAATGTTTATTACTGCCAAGTTGTTTGGCTACATTTAGTCATGGAGACTGACAAAAAGCTATGCAATACACCAAAGCTCTGTCTTCTCTATTGAAAAAGCTACCATCACTGCCATCTCATCTAGTTTGGTCCCTCTGAATCAGGGGTAAGGGACATAAGACCCGGGGGCCGGATGCAGCCCAATCACCACCTCAATCCGGCCCACGGACGGCCCGGGAATCAATGTGTTTTTACATGAGTAGAATGTGTCCTTTTATTTAAAATGTATCTTTGGGTTATTTGTGGGGCATAGGAATTCATTCACCCCCCCACCCCCCAATATAGTCTGGCCCACCACATGGTCTGAGGGACGGTGGACCGGCCTAGGGCTGAAAAAGGTTGCTGACACCTGCTCTGAATGTACCAACATGTTCTTTGCAAACAGAATGAAATCATATTCCTGTTTCAAAAGGTTCTTGCTAGAATCCTCCCATTCCTGGCTTATTGGGGGCAGTTGTTGCAGCCTGGGGCAGTTGCAAGGAGGAAGTGGAAGCACCAGGAAGATTCTGTGTTGGGTCAGGCTCTTTGGAGCTGGGTGAGACATGGAGCTGCGGTGAGGGGCTGGGAGCTGTGGGTGAGGTTGAGGAACTTCCAGAGCAGACTAGATGGAAGGTTCTGGGAGTCTGGTCCTCTCTGGAAGTATTTAAAGGACCCCCTCCCCCGCTGCTGCTCCTCACTTACAGTTCAGAGCCGATCTCCCCACCCAGGCACCCTTTTTTTAAAAAAAATATTTTATTAAGGATTTTCTTGTTTTACAGAAGTGTAGTGCCTCATATATATTTTTCCCCATGTAACATTTTTACAAATCCGTTTCATTTGTTGAGGCATTAGGGGGAGAAGAAAATAAAAATAAAAAATAAAAAAAGGAGAGAAAAAGAAAGGGGGGTGGAGAGAGGGAAGATGGATAAGGGTGGGATTGGGTGGCGGTGTTTCTATTATGTTTAATGTATGTAGAGTTTGGTGTCAGCGTGCTTGTGTTGTTCACTTGTGTTCCTTTGGTGGTGAGAGAGGTTGGGGTTGGCCTAGGGTGTGATTGTTTGCTTGTGATTGGCTGTGGTGATCTTTGTTTTCGTGTGTGAGTGAGGTGGGTGGGTGTTTTGGATCAGGTTAGCCATATTGATTTGTATGCTGTTGGTGGATTATTGTCATTGTCTTGTTGGGCTGTGTGTGTGATAAAGGGGAGCCATACCGGGGTGAAGGCATCTTCTTCTGTTTGTCCCCGTGTCAGTTTCAGTTTATTAGTTAATTTTTCTAGTAGGGCTGTTTCCCATACTATTTGATACCATTGGTCCATGCTTACTCCTGACAGGTCTCTCCAGTGTCTGGTTATGGTGTTTCTGGCTGCTGAGAGCAGGTGGGTTATGAGTTCTTTGTGGTGTAAATGGGCATTGTTGTCTTGGAAGATGTTTAGTAGGGCCAATTCTGGGGTGGTGTCTATTACTTGCTTAGTTATTTTACAAATTTCTTGTATGGCTGTTGTCCAGAATAGTTGGATTTTGGGACACTCCCACCACATGTGGAAGTATGTGCCTGTGGAGGTGCACCCTCTCCAGCATTTTGGTGAGGTTCCTGGGTGTATTAGCGCTAGTTTCCTTGGTGTTAGGTACCACCTGTAGGTGAGTTTCAGTGTGAGTTCTTTTCTTTTCGTTGATATGGATTTAAAGGGGGGTTTAGACCACATTCTGGTCCATTGAGTGGGGTTTATCTCATAGCCTATGTCATTCTCCCATTGATTTTTGATTGCGTCTAGGGGATTTGCGAGATTTTGGAGTAGTATTTTGTATATTGCGGATACCATCCCTTTACCGTTTCCCTTTGTTGTTAGGAGGAGGTTTTCGAAGGTTGTCAGGGGCCTAGTTGCTGCTGATTTTACTGTTGGGTTGTTTAAGAGGGCATGTAGTTGGTGTTGTGTTAACCAGGGCATTTGGGTGTCTTCTAGTTTGTCTTGTATTTCTTGTGTTGACAAGGGTTTGTTATTTTTATAAAAGTCTATTAGGCGATACAAGCCTTTGGTTCGCCAGGTTTTTATCTTGAGGTTTTGTGCTGCATGGTGGAATAATGGGTGGTATGCCAGGGGGATTAGTGGGGATGGGGTTGGGGATAGTTTGCCTATTTGTGTTTTCCATGCTTTGAGCATGGTCTGTGTGTACCTGTTAAGTGTTGTGGGAATTTTCTTTAGTTTGTTTGGGAGGAGTGGGTATGTTGTGGTGCAGGTGTTTTCAATTGTGTCCTTCTCTAGGTGTACCCATTGTTTTGTCTCATCTTCTAGTATATATGGGATTATATGGCGTATTTGGTTGGCGTTGTAATATGCTTCTATGTTGGGGATTCCCCATCCTCCTTCTGAGGTGGGGAGGTGCAGGTATTTGGGGCTTATTCTTGGTTTTTTATGTGAGAAGATGAAAGAGTGTAGTTTTCTCTGCCAACTGTGAAGTTGGGTTGAGGGGATCCAGATTGGGAGGGTTTGGAATAGGTAGGTTAGTTTTGGGAGTGTGATCATTTTGATCATGGCTATTTTGTCTGAGAGAGTGAGGTTCATGTTATTCCATCTCTTTAGGTCTTTGTTAATTTGTCGCCACAGGGGCTTGTAGTTGTGGAGGTATAATTTATTGAGGTTTCTGGTTATTTGTACCCCTAGGTATCTGAACTTGGTGTGGCAAAGTTTTATTTTGGTGACCTTCGTGAGTTCTTTTTGGGTGTGAGGAGGGGTGTTGAAGCACATAGCTTCTGACTTTGTGAAATTTACCTGTAGGCCCGACACCATTGCAAATGCGTTGAGTTCTCTGATTAGGGAGGTTGCTGTGCTTATGGGGTCTGGTGTTGTGACCATTAGGTCATCTGCAAAGAGCCCTAATTTATAGGTCCTGCCTTTTATTTCCACTCCCTTGATGTCTGTGGCTGCTCGGATGCGGATTGCTAGGGGTTCCAGAGCCAGGATAAATAAGAAGGGAGACAGTGGGCATCCTTGTTTCGTGCCTCTTTGGATAGCTATAGTGTTAGAATCCATATTGTTAGTTCTGCATTTTGCTGAGGCTTGGGAGTATATTTGTTTGAGGATTTGTAGGAAGTTGGGGGCAAATTTCATGTTAGTTAGTACTGCTAATATGTATTTCCACTCCAAGCAATCAAAGGCTTTGAGTATGTCTAGGGACATAATTGTCAATGGGAGTTTGGTTGCCTTGCTGTGTTTGATCAGGTTCAGTAGTTTCCTGATGGGGTCTGTTATATTGCGGCCAGGGACAAAGCCAGTCTGGTCTGGGGCTATTAACTTGTGTAGGAAGATTTTTAGGCGGTTGGCCAAGATTGATGTGAATATCTTGTAGTCTTGGTTTATTAATGAGATTGGGCGGTATGATTCTACTTTGAGGCTGTCTTTTAGTGGTTTTGGGATGGAGACTATTTTGGAGTGGGTCCAGGTTTTGGGGATGGGGCCCCCTTTTATGATGTCGTTGAATAGGCGGGTCATGTAGGGCATCAAGGGTTCTTTGAATTTCTTATAGAATTCTGCTGTGAAGCCGTCTGGGCCTGGGGCTTTGTGTGGTTTCAAGTTTTTGAGGACCGCATCTATTTCCTCTGGGGTGATAGGGCTATCCATGAATTCCTGTTCCTCATCAGTTAGGGTAGGCATGGTCAGTCCTGCTAGAAATTTTTTGATTTCCCTCTCTGGTGGGTTATGGGAGGTGTATAGGTTGGAGTAAAATTCTGCAAATTCTGAAATTATTTCTTTGGGGGAGAATGTTATGTTG